CACTTAGCTGTGTGTGTGTTTTGTGGAATTACAGGCAAAAATGGATGGAAAGACTTTTTTTTTAAAAAAGAGGGTTTGTTGCACAAGAGTAATTTTGTTTTCAAGTATGAATGTCTGTTCAATGTGAGGTTTCACTAGAAAGCCTAAGGCTGTCATCTGTGTAATTTTGAATGTCAATTCAGGAAAAGAGGCATGGGTTGGTCTGATTTCTTATCAATTGAATTATATGGGCAACACATTTGAATTCTATCAATGGAAATTTACGTCCATTTTGGAGTTGTGTCGGTGATATAACCGAATATCAGCTGTCTATCGGCTGTGAGGCCTAGACAATGAAACACAATGAGCGGAGGGGCGTGTTTGATTTACTTCATATTAAGAAACTACTGCACTAAAACATTAATTCATAAATGTATATCATATGATTTTATTTTTTTTTCTCAGTATAAATAACATGTACCCTGACTGTTCTACTCTTTGAATAAAATCACTTCATTCAAGCGTTAGGGAGTGCTAAGGGTTATGATGGAGGGGGATTGATAATCACGAGGACCTGCCAAGTGGTATGATAGCATTGTTTTATACATGTCCTTGGCTAGGCCTCAGTTTCAAAATCAGTCCTTGGTCCTTGGCCTTGGCCTCGGAAGCAAGTCCTTGGTCCTTGGCCTTGGCCTTGGAAGTCAATTCCTTGGCCTTGGCCTCGGCCTTGGGAGTCAAGTCCTTGGCCTTGGCCTTGGCCTCGGGTTGCCGGTCCTTGGACACATCCCTGACACAATGACACTAGGGGAACGGTAAAATGTCCGTATGCAAAAAAATAAAAAATAAAAAATACTGTAATAAAAAGTCCATATGCAAATTGTATACAGTAGTCCCCAAATCCTCCATGCATCCAGTGACTCACATGATTGGTTACAGTCTAATCACAACATAACTTCAAGCCAATGACATCTTGTTTACATTTGCCAGCACGTTATTTATTTATTTATTTATTTTTTGGGGGGGGGGGTAAAGTGTGTGAAAAAGAAGGATAATCAAAGGCATTCACGAGCCGGAAGTCGAACAGGTTCGCGGAGGGACTGCACCAAAGTGCTTGAGACCACAGGTACATACGTTTTCAAACACATTTCATGTTTCTTTTGTCGGTTGTATACATTTCCACCATATAAACCCATCCCTGATTTACGTTACCTCACCCCACAATTCACATCGATTGTCGTCTTCGTGGAAGTGTGTGTGTGTGGGGGGGAGGGGCCTACTGCAGTTGAATGTAGTTTGTAATATAATAATCATGACATAGTGCCATTATTAAAATGAGATGTATTGTAATTAATTGCATGTAGCCCATATAGGACCTGTGTACAGACATTACCGGTATGCTGTGTGATCACAATCTATAGTAATAGTATCATAAATATAATAAGTAACAATCATTCAACCTAGCAGTAGTTTTCCAACTTTTTACAGCAAGTATCATGTAAAAAGGTCACGCTAACAAGTACCACCATAGGACCAACATTATAATACCAATGTTATAATACAATAACAAAGTTGGCCTCAGCGTTCTTAAACCGAGGCAGAGGTTTTATTCCTAAAATACATTTGTTTCTATTATTGTAAGCTGCTGCAATGTTAAGCGCAGTTCAACCTTTAACACCGTTTGCTTCGTTTGCTGATCATATCTGTGTGTGTGGAGCTTCAAAGTTTAATGATCATTTCGAGGACTCCATGAAACTTGTATCCCTGTAAACTGAATAAATGTCTTGTAAATTTGAAAAAAGGTGTGATTAAAAGAAAAATCAACAAGTACACAGAGTCACAATTGTTTTCCTCTAATTGAGTTGTAATTTAACATTTCGGAGTACAATTAATTGCCTCCTCTGGCTACCAGAGTGAGGTAATTAATCACAGTGGATCAAAATCTCTTCAGTCAACGAACGTAAGGCTCTCATCGGTATAAAACGCGGGTCAGTAACTTATGTTCTCATCAAATAAAAGTTTATTTTATTTGTTGGGAGTACAATTAATCCACTACTTTGAGTAATATGTACTCTAAATATTTTACTCTCTTCCAAGTGTAAATTTGACTCTGTTTAGAATGGGACGAAATATTGTCTTGTTAGAGTAAAGTGTACTCGATGAAATTTGCAGTGTAGGAAATTACTTTGCCAAGGGCCGGTTTGCTCTGAGAGGGAGGTTTGCACCTGGTTAACTTCTGATGTGCTACCCACAGGCAGGGCTTCTTCTAGGACTCTGCCTTGGCAGCTGCTTCCTTCCAAATATGGTGCCTTGCTCACTGGCTCAACTGCCTCTACCTCTTCACTGGCAGTCCTGCTTTCCCCTCTCTTCGCCACCTTCTTGATCAGAAATTTCCTAGCGAGCCAGTCTGTCTGGAGTTGTGAAGTATCTTTGAACAGATAAATGCAGTATACCCACTGTAAAAAAAAAAAGCTGTTACCAGCGCTTAATCTCAATGCTACAAATTGGCAACATGATTTGTTGTGAACTAAAATATGTTATGACAACATTCAGTGCATTTTACTTTCCTCTCTTTGTATCTTCGACCCACCAAAGTCGCGATTCAGTGCAATGGCTCCTTTTTTACTCAATAAAAGCAGGTCTGCACGTCCTCGAGCAGAGTGCTTTTCATGGTTCTCACACCCTGGTTAATGATCTCTTCCCGAATCACTTCGGAGAGCTATTGAATGAAAGAAAGAATGGTTTTATATGAAAGGCAGGGCAAATTTATTTGTGTGGCACATTTCATGTACAAGACAATTCAAATTGCATTACATTAAAACGAACAAAACTAAGCATTAGTCGACATAAATTAAAAGGTAGCATGCAAAAAATTGATTCAAATACGAAAATAAAGGCTAGATTAACAAGAACGCGTCAGTAAATGATGTTTTCAGCATGGATTTAAATTTAAAGTACAGTGAAACTCCTCTACAACGAAATCATGTTTGCGGCAAGACATTTTTCACAACAGGGGGTTTTTCACTGTAGCAAATTTGATCTCAGAAGTAAGCACACACACACACACACACACACACACACACACACACACACACACACACAAATGTACGTGTACACGTACACACAAACGTATGCATACTCTATCTTTATTCCAATAGTGCATAAGTATGAGCACACACTTATTTGACACTTCATATTGTCAGTGTAGAAAGAAAAAAAGGGAAAGAAATTGCGAAATTTACGATCAGCATTCACTTTCACTTACATCAATTTCTTGGAAAATGTATTTTATTTTGCTTGCTCCGTCTTTCTGGCCATCGAGGACTACGAAGCGTCCCGTGGGTGTTTTTAGCATGATAACAAGTAAAGCATTCGAGGAAACGTTCTTTTATTTTAATGTCCGTCAAGCCATAAGCAATTTAGCATTAGCGGCTAATCGGATGCTACGGATCTAGCTTCAGTATCTACACACATAGACAGTGAGGTCCCTCTTGGCCAATCGGAGGCCAGGATGATGCTCGGTAAGCCAATGGCAGAGCAGCTATGAGTATGTCGAGTCCAGGAAACTCGCAGCTGTGACCGAAATAAACATCGTTCACTATGTAAACCAGTGTGGTGGTTGCTGCTGCCGTTTCCGAACAAAGCAGTAGAGGTCGCTGTTGGATTAGACTTCATTGTCGTGAATGTCTTCGCGAGGCTGGAGCAGAGAAAATGATTTCGTATAACGCAACAGGGGGGTTTTCATCGTATGGGGGGCGGGAGAATGGGAATTGTGCTAATGCGTGAAGATTTTTTCACATAAGGGGGTATGTTCGCACATGTAGGTTTCGTTCTAGAGGAGTTTCACTGTATGATGGAAGATGTAGTAGTGCTTCACAATTTTAACATGGGACAACATGTAGATATGAAATCGAAATGCTCCTAGAATGGACCCTTGTGTAACCCCGCATATTATCCTTGTTCATTCAGACTCACAGCCATCAACTGAGTACAAACGGAGACAAAGTAGTCCCTAACTTGCAAGTAAGATTTGAATCAATTCAACTCAGTGCCAGCAAGTACCGCCCACTGTTTTAGTCTGTTGAGCAGGATGTTCTGATTCACTGTGACAAATGCAGCATTGAGTTTGAGCAGTACCAAGACGGTAGATTTGAAGGCATCATTATCTATCTATCTATCTATCTATCTATCTATCTATCTATTATATATATATATATATCTCCTTGTTCTGATCCCATGTCACCTCTTCAAAGTAACGGAGTAGCAGCACCTCAGCTGCTTTCTCCATCAGGGTCCAGTGATTGGGTGTCATTGTGGCTGGAAGGTTGTGGTCAGCTGCATCGAAGCTGAGAGTCTGTTTTCGCTCCAGGCGGCTTTGGAGCATGTAAATTAGGGCTGAACGATTTCTCTTTTTTTCTTCTTTTTCTCCTTTAAGTGACTATTCCTCACCTCAGTATCGGCAAACGAGCTACCAATAAGCATCGTTATCATTAAAGGCAGACTAGGAGTAGACTAAGCATGGATAACGCCAATGCTAATCGCGATGATAACTTGGCGAAAACACCAGAAAAAAAAGTGCTTTGGTGTACAGTACACTTTTCACAGTTGTCTGTCTGGAACAGCATTAAATGGCAGAGCAAACGGTTTTGTTTATGTCACCTGCTTATAGATTATATCTTCGATCTGTCTATTGATCTATCTGTAATGTACCATATTTTTTCCCTTTTGACAGAGTCATGCACAAACACACCTGCAAATACCCAAACGGATCACAAAAGAAATAATCCACACATTGATGTCATCAAAAACAGTGATTAACATTCAACATTAAAAAGTGGTCCGGGTGTATGAAGCCTCTGAAAAAAATTCAAATCAATTTGATGTTTCCTTTTTTTTTTTTTGTCTCTGAATTGAAATTTCCCTCTTAGATCATAGCCATTTACTCTGATATGAGTGGGAATGCAAGTTCGACATGTTTGCACAATTTTCATTCTTCCCTTTCTATCTATTTGTGTCTGCTGCAGCAAATGGTGATGAGCCTGCGGGTTTCAGAGCTCCAGGTGCTGCTGGGCTACGCTGGGCGTAACAAGCACGGACGTAAGCACGAGCTTGTAACAAAAGCATTGCATCTGGTAAAGGCAGGCTCGAGCCCCGCCGTGCATATGAAGATCAAAGAGCTGTACCGCCGACGCTTCCCTGCAAAAATGGTGTCTCACTCCGAGCTCTCCTTGCCCGGACCACATCACCCAGCCACAGCGGGGCTGGTCGGAGGAGGTGGAGCTGCTTTGCCTGCTGGACTGACACAGCTGGCATACGAGGGCCACGCGGGTCACAGTGGAACCCCGTCACCCGCTGCCTTACTACCCCTCTCGCTACTCGGACCTGGGAAGCACGAGTTCACGGGGTTGACGCACCACCTGTCCGCTGCGGTCCCACTACACCCCGTCCACCCAGATGTGACGCTTCAGAGGTTGCCATTTTATGACATGCTTGATGAGCTCATCAAGCCAACCAGTCTCGGTGAGAACAGCATTTCAGGGTTTTTCATTCATGATTTGGTTTAGTTCTGTTTGTTATGTCTGTGGTTTTTGGGCAGTGATTGAGGTGACCAAACATCATGTAACCTAAAAATTAGCTCGAGATTTTCAGTTCATCCTTCAGTCACTCTTGCAAACATTTGCTATGCCCGCCTGGACCTCAAAGAGGCTGGCGAACAGCACCAGGGACCTGTTTTAAGTGCCTTTCAGTTTACACCTAATACACCAGAAAACAGCGAGACCAGCATATGCATAAAACACACGACCTATTCATCCGTTTTGTGCATCAGAAATCTTGCATTGGAGAGGTTACAAGTTGGTTGGAAATCGCTATGGTAATACAAAAATGTCAGGTATGCATCATAAAAGTCGTATTTGACTTTTATTGAGGGGAGTAATGATTATACTGTGTAACACGTCCATTTTTATCATTGCAGCAACTGTTTTAGATACATTAGCAGCTGCAAACATTAAAAAAACATGCATTCTTCAAAATATATTCATGCATGTATTTTCAGAGATTTATGTTATTTGTGTGTTCATTAAATCTTAATAGCTATAAATGTGCATTTCTGTCTTGATCAGTGAAAAAATATTTTATCCTCACTCCAATAGAGTATGTTGTGCTGATTAAGATTCTGTGATTTGACTTTTGACTTGCTTGAACAAAGTAATGACTTGACTCGCTTTTGACTTTTGGTGTGACAGAAAGACATATAACACAGCCAGCTTTCTTCACTGGCTAGATTGATCGTTAGTGAAATGGGTCTCCGTAGGTACTTTATGCTCTTTGACTGTACACTAGGTAGCAGTGTTGCTATAAAAATACTATTGATATGAAAAAGGTTGTGATGTTCATCGCCTATTAAGAAAATACAGTGTTAGGCTACACCCTGGCATTGTTATTTTGCCTCCGGACACCACAAACTTAGGACGATTAAAGGGACGGACGAAAATCCACGTTCCTCCTTGCTTCGTCCGTCCTTTTTAAAAAAATTGTTGTCTTCCGTCCCAAAAATGGATGTCCTTCCGGGACGGACGGACAGACCGTTCTGTCCAAGGGACGGAATGCCCACCTCTGTTGTCTGGAGTGCCCATCTAGTATCTACCAGTTATTTAGTAAAGCATTTAAATGCTCTGGCTTTGTAGTTATAAAAATCATTATAAAAAAAAAATAAAATCATGGAAATATGCTGGTAACGTTTTTCATTAGCATTTTAATCGAGGCAGAAACTATCATGTCATTTATTTTCCTGCCAATGTGTGTACAAGCACAGTGGCTGCAACTCTGTCATTGCAACGTTTCCTCCTTCTATTGTAACGTTGTACTAAATGTGTTCTACCCATTCCTCTTATGTTTTCTCTCACCACTGTGTCTGTCATCATCCGCTTTGCATGCAAACATTTGCATTCAAAGTGAGAAAATTGCACAGACCCACCACTGTGCCTTCAATTTGAGTCTGAATTGCATATAGACGTAGTCACTCACACCCTGATACAGTACTGCACATATGGTTCCTTCCAAACACAGACATACTTCGATATTAATAATGTATACGTGTTCTCTCATTAGTGAGAGAAAGGGTGAATGAGAGAAAAAACAAGAGGAATATGGTGCATATAATTTCACCAAGCTGAATATTTGAATGGTTCTAAAAGACTGCTCAGGCTCGTGTGATCGCCATATTTAACCTAATTATGAGGAAGAGAGCTCTGTTACCTTGTAATCATGCACATATGCCTCCCTCAGATCCACTGATTGGTATTCATACTACTCCCACAATTGTTTCTGCATCCCCTTTTGCCTCATCCACAGTATCATTTACAACAATTCCCTCCCCCTCACTCCTTCTGCTGCATTTATTCATGCCCTTACAGCCTATTGCCATGTGTGTCATAGAATGCTAAGATGATACTCAATTCCAATTTATCATAGCTGAAAAGGTTGAAATTATGACAAAAGTGCATTCATGTTAACAGTCTTGGATTGTATGGCAAATACATTAGGTTCCAGTAGCACACACCTCACCTCAAGAAGTATTACGACAGTGAGTCTGATTCATTTCCAACTCCAATGAAATTGAAACGTGTACGACGAAAATAAAAACAGATTTGCAAATTCAGATGTTCAGTGATCAAAATGATGATAATACCCGATCAACGTTTGGGAACAAAGGACAATATTTGTTGAAGCTTTTCTGGTGGAATTCTTTCCCATTCTTGCTTGAATGTCAGCTTCAGCTGTTGAACAGTCTCCATCCATCCATTCATTTTCAACAGTGCTTCTCCTGAAGATAGTCGCGGGGAGTTGTGGGAGCCGAGCCCTGCTGACTTCAGGCAGGAGACAGACTATACCCCGAACTGGTCGCCAGCCAGTCACATATAAGGCACATATAGAGTATGCATTGTCATATTGTACGCTTCATAATGCGCCACAAATTTTCAGTGAGAGACAGGTCTGGACTGCAGACAGGCCAGTCTAGTACCTGCACTCTTTCACTACAAAGCCACGCTGTTGTGGCACATGCAGAATGTGGTTTGGCATTGTCTTGCTGAAATAATCAGGGGCCTCCAAGGGACTTGGATGGCAGCATTTGTTTCTCCAAAACCTGCATGCACCTTTCCACACCTTTAATGGTGCCTTCACGGATGCTGGCTTTAGAAATCTGCGCTGATCACAATCCAGATGTTCTTTTCCTCTCGGGGCCCAGAGTGCACGAAATCCATGATTTCAAAAAATGATTTGAAATGTGGACTGAACAGACCACAGTACACTTTTCATCTTAGCGTCAGTCCATGTCAGATGAGCTCAGGCCGGGAGAAGCTTGCAGCATTTCTGGCTTTTGTTGAATCCAGTCACCTCCACAAGTGTTGGAACATCAAGGTCAATTCCTTTGCTTTTGTTGTATACTGAAAACACCAGCTTTTAATGAATGGTATTTACATCAAGATGTGTTTCACAGCTAAGAAAGGAGAACCTTTTGTTTGAAGCCACCGCCTTTTAAAGTGAGCAAAATTATTGTAATGAGCATTATTAAATCACATTAAAGTGAATAACATTTAATATTTGGTGGCATATCCCTTTCCTCACAGTAACTGCATCAAGGATGCGACCAATTTGCGACTTCACCAAACTGTTGCATTCTTTTCCATTCCTTTACTGCAGCCGTTTCTTGGGGTTTCTCCCTTCAGCCTCCTCTTCAGGAGGTCAAATGCAGTCTCTATTTGGTTACGGTCCAGTGATTAACTTGGCCAGTCTAAGGCCTTCCACTTTTCATCCTGATGAAGTCCTTTGTTGTGTTGTCTTTATTTGTGTGGTCATTTTCTTGTTGCATGATGTCGCTTCTCCTGATTAGTTTGGTTGCGTTTTTCTGTAAATTATCAGATAAAATGGTTTTGTCGATTTCAAAATGTATTCTGCTCATCAACAAAGACTTTGAAAAATGAACTGGAGACCACAACACAAGTGGTCGGATCTTGGTCCTAATGTGATTGCTAAGGCCTACAATTCACTTACCATATAAGGGGAATTATCCTGTTACGTTTACAGAGGAGATTTGATTCACTGTGGCGACTCTTGCATAGGGTTAAGCCGAAAGCGAAGATAGTTTTACTCAGTGTGGCGCATGTTCACTTTTAAGAGGAAAAATAGAACTATCCAAAAGCGCATAAAAACTGCCTGTAATTCCTCTTTTGTGCTTTTTTTACCTAATTTTGTCTGTTAGTGTTGCAATGCCTAATGTTGTTAATTGTTGCATGTATGCTTGAGTTTTATTATAGGTTTATAGTTTGGCTTTACTTTGAATCACTTACCGAAGGGGTAGATAATATTTGCCTTTATATATTTTTTAAAGTGTCAAATTTGAATTAACCTTCTATATTGAAAGAAAACAAAACTGAAAATGGCTTACTGTATTTCCAAGTAGGGCTGGGTATCGATTCTGATTTACAAAATCAATTTGATTCAATTCACATGGGCCCGATTCAGTTCGATTCCCTTTGATTGGTTTTCGATTCGGTTAGCGAAGGATTTCAGGCAGTGCCAATTTTACTTTAATGTGGAAGACATTCTCCCAAAGAAGCAATACTGCAAATAGTACAAACTTCTTGTTTTAATTTGGTGCATTCGTAAACATATATATTTACCTAAAATAATTACATGAATCATGTATGTTTGTGCGACCCGATCAAAATAAAAAATAATAATTTAAAGCTATTCTAACCACAGTGCAGGCTGTGTAAATAAAGTGGCAAAAGACACTACAAACTCATGACATTCACATTCCTGTGTTTGTCTCACAAAGTGTCAGCACAGTACTGTCTTTGTGTTTGTTTTAATGAAACACATTGTTCTGATACGCTATTCTCGTGCAGTGACAAGATTTCACGTAATGCATGAAGTCACGCGAATTTATGGGAAAAGGATATTAAAAAGATGGATTGATGGTTTTATGAATCAATATCAGGCTATGAAAAGGCAAATCTACTTGCTTTGATTAATCGAAAAACTAATTTCAAACCCAGCCCTATTACCAAGAGATAGAGACTCCAGTTTTTTAAATGCATTTATCCAGTTTTTTTTCTTTCTGCTAAAATACCCTATTGGCCCGAATATAAGATGGTGTTTTTTGCATTGAAATAAGACTGAAAAAGTGGGGGTCGTCTTATATTCGGGGTCTAGACATTATACCCATTCACGACGCTAGATGGCGCCAGATACCAATGAAGCGAATGCTGAACTTGACTCCCCAGGCCAAAGCGAACCCCTGTCACGAAGAATAAAAATAAAAATAGCGGTAGCACGAAGAAGAAAAATAAAAAATAGCGGTAAGTAAGAAAAGAAAAGAAAATAATAGAAGAGATAACAGAAAATGGAGAAACGTAGCGACAATCTGGAGAAAAGTGGGTCGAAGATCGGCCAGGTTAACCGGCAACTGAGGAGAAGTTATGATGTAATTTACATTTCAAAAACCAGAAGCCATT